TATATAGTTAAATTAACAGATTTATCTGAGAAGCATTTCACTTGCACCAAGTGTACACTTACAAAGGAAGNTTTTTTGTTTTTTTTTTTTTTTTTTTTTTTTTTTTTTTTTTTTTTTTTTTTTTTTTGCCTGGACAGCATTAAACTCTAAATGGGATTGGCCCACGCTGCTTCTAACTTAATGTCCTACATCAGTTTGATAATTCTTAGGCTTGTGTATATAATGCTCTTGGTTGTTCACTCATGTCAATGAAACCCCACTGTAACATAGTGTGAAGTTATATTTATTCCCCATACACATGGATGTAAGTAATCGTTCCTTAAATCTAATTTGATGACTGATAATAGAGTTACAGTATTACAATAAATAGTGGATAAATCTGTGTAGTGATTGGTCCCTCTTTATTGCAACTATTAGACCCAACAGTATAAACAGTGTAGAAGTAAGCATTCCTGCAAAGCATGAATGCCTTGTCTATACTAAACATCTGTTATGTCAATAAAGAGCTCATGTATTGTGTTACATTATGTAACTCCATCTGTTCACCTCATCTCCCACAAACGTCCTTACTTTGTGTTAAGAAAATGCACTGTAATTTGTTTTTGCCCACTATCCACCATTTAGGTATAATTTATTTTCCTTACAGAAAACGAAAGAGATGATATTCATGTCCTTATGTCATTGTAGCTTGAGTCTAATGTACAAGTTTGGTTTATGGGATTTAGCTGCATTATATTTCAAACTTGCATAAAACTTCTGCTGTGGTTACCAGTTTCAAGGTGAATGACACAGAAGAAGAAAATTAGCCAATATATTGTCAAAGTCAAAATCTTGCAGTAGGAGTAAAAGCAGAAATGTCAAGTTATGTGGAGTCCGGTGTTAACCACAGTGTGTGGTTAACACCGGACCACACAAACCAGGGGCATATGGAAGTCATAACTGAAAAGTAGGCTACGAACGTGAGGGGCAAGCTGCCGAGGAAAACACGCTGGACAGACATACATTTATGAAAATGGACAACACCCCGTGTGAGGTGAAATAATATGCACCAAACTAACGTGGGTATAATACAAACTTTAAAGGATTTTATCTGGTTTTAACTTAAAAAGAGGACTACAGCATGTGATTTTAACATGAACCAAGTCAGTGTAGCAGTTTGAACGTAGTTTAATAAAATATTTGTAACATATCAAGACACCTGAAGATGGCCGTTTGGGGCCGAAACATATAGTGTCAATGTGTATAATGTTAAACTAAAATTAAGTGGTGAATGGAAGAGTGTTGCAATACGACGGACGATAAATAATGGACGTTAAGACTGCTGTATATTTTTGCTCATTAATATCAGGATAAGGGTCTAAAATCACCCATGATATTTCTTACACATTGTAACAATTATCAGTATTTTGGGAGAGACTGTCTCATCACTTAACTTTCTTGAGGTCAGTTCTCTTTTCTCTTGTCACTTAACAGCAATGGCACTGCAGTCACCCTCCTTTCAGTTCTCTGCACTATACTAAATGGCAATTGAGTCACTGTCTAACTAGCTGACTAACTCACGGACTCAATCACAGCTCTGCACTTTACTGACCTGAACTGTGCTCTTACTGTTATAGAAATGGCACCCTTTGGGAAATTTGCAGTGAGCCATGCACTGATATCACTAACTTCTTCTCTGCTCTTGCAAGAATCTGGCAACTACTGTTGTAGGCATGTTACCCTGCAGGAAGCTTGTAGTGAGTCATTGGGCAACCTTGGCCTCTGGCATCAGCTGAATAGCTTCTTTGACAAACCAGATGTCATGGGAGGCAGTATGATCCCTGCCATACCAAGCACCCATGAAAATGTTCTATTTACTGGTAAATTTCAGGACATTTCTTGTGGTGGGTTGGAACTAAGTCCACTTAGTACACCAGCCGCTACGTGGCTTGCTGTACCAGCCCCAGGTGATAGATGATGATGATGAGGGTAAAGCATATAATGGAATGAGAATTGGCAGGGGAGACTGAAGTAGTCAGAGAAAGACTTTGTCCACCACAAATCCCACATGACCTGACCTGGGGTTGAACCTGGGTCACAGCGGTTGGGAGTTGCGACTAACCTCCTGAACTATGGCATGGCCTTACCAGTATATATATATATATATTAATTTTATTAGATGTACTTAATGTAGAGCATAAATGTAAAGACTTCTTGCGAATCTCAAATATTACTTGTTGATTGTTCAGGAATGATCTGTTAAACACAAAATAGACGTTACATAAATGTTTGCATAAATTTAATGAAACATTTGTGCAGTACAGAAAACTTTCACATAAAATGCAAAAAATCTAAAATATAAACTACACAGAGGCTTCACATAAGTTATTAATATTCAAATAGATCCACACATATACATCAGTTGTGCTATTTATTCAGACCTTTGAATAGATAATGAAATATACCGTTAGACTTGTCAGTTCTGTCACACAGATCAGAACTGGGTATGTAAGGGTTAATTTTCTTTTCTTAAAAGGGAGAGTGGAGAGGTGTATTGTGTAATGGAATGAACAGAAATTTCATTGTTCTCTTTTATTATCTTTCCACAATCTTGCATTTCATGATATTTTTGGTATGTGTGGTTCTATATGTAAGAAGAGAAATATTCATAAGATCTTACTGACTTCTTACAGTGGTCTCTGTGATTAAATAATTAAGCACTACGCCATAAAGACATGGGGAGTGGAGGAATAGCTTCAACATTCTTGACCTCAACAGATGAAGAAGAATGGCCAGCTTCACCCCTGGGGAAAGAGCCCACCAGTACCCCTTTCATAGGAGACTGGGTGAGCCCTGGAGCCAGACTGGACACTGGAGAAGAGAGAAATCTGTTCCCTGCACTGGGAATCGAAGCCCATCTGTCCCAGCTCTCTATTAAAATATATGTGAATACTTATGTTAATATTCCTAACTTTTGGGCATATCTTTCTAAATTCTTTATTTATTTTGGGGAGATATTTTTTAATTTAAAGTACCAGCCCTATTTCACTAATAAGATCTGAATTTTGTCAGCAGATTTTCGTGCATATCACAAATAATTTAATAAAAGTAAATAAGTGGATAAGAAGTGTCAAGATTTGACTTGGCTCAACTTGGTCCATCACAATAGCACACAACACAAAGTGCGCCATACAACGGGACCAAGACATTAAAGGCACAAAAAACATGCTGTGAGAGACAAGCTTCTTCCTTTACTGAGAAGAAATTTCAAGACATGAACCACTGGTTCTAGTTTTAACAAAAAGTTGTTATAGCTTTACTTTTGACTATGTAAATTTGTTTTAATAACATAAATGTTCCAACCACTTTCTGTACTTAATGTACTGTAGTTACAAGGTATAATTTTTTATATTAATGACATTGTAATATTGGTTCCCTAAATGTTGATCAAGTCCTTCTGAAGATGGTCAATTCGACTGAAACATGTCAAGGAAAATTAAATAATGAAATACAGTTTTTATTAATCATACTGGAAGGTGCTGTGAATCATTTTATATTAAAAGTGCTAAGATATTAGTGATTCTATGAACTGAAATGTATACACACTTGTAGACAAGATCAGTGTAAACTGCGTCCTATAGAAACAGGGTTCATGAGGTTGTGTAATTTTTATTTTCATTTACATTACAAATTTAAAAACTAATTCCACCTTCAGTTAGCCTATTAACCTTCAATACAGTTTATGAGAATGAAAATAAATCACCTGTTTTCCATTGTTCTGACTTAACCTATTTGGGAATTTAACCTGACTGTTGTTTGTCCCCTATATCATCTTGTTTTTTGTGGCTTAACCCTTCAATGTCAAATATTTGCATTTGTTTATTAACTGCCAGCCTCTTCCTAGCTTCTGCCATCACCAATTGGTGATCAGTATCACAGTCTGCTCAACTGAGAGATCAGACATCAAGTACACTTGAATGTCGTCTCCTATCTAATGAAATACAGTCAACATAATTGTGTCCCTGGGGATTTAAATGTAAAATTTATGGTATGTAAAAGATGGAATATTTATGACTAAACCCAGGCTTCAATATGGCATATGTGGTGAAACAATCATCCTAGACAGCAAACGTCACCTTCTGGAAATAATGTAGTGACAAGAATATAATAATTATTGTCAAGTGTGATTTGAACAGCTGTGTTTGAGAATGGTGTTGAGGAGAATATTTCGACTGAAGAGAGATGAAGTGATGGGAGGTTGGAGAAAACTACATAATGAGGAGCTTCATAACTTGTACTCTTCTCCAAGTATAATTGGTAGGCACAATAGATCACTGTGGTCGCGGTGCAAGGACCAAGAAGGCTAACCCCTTATACATTCAAGTATAATTAGAATGATCAAGTCAAGGAGGATGAGGTGGGCAGGGCATGTAGACCGAATGGGGGAGAATAGAAGTGCATATAGGGTATTGGTGGGAAAGCCAGAAGGGAAAAGACCACTGGGAAGACCAAGGCATAGGTGGGTGGACAATATTAAAAAGGATCTCAGAGAGATAGGATTGGATGGTATGGATTGGATTGATCTGGCTCAGGATAGGGACAGGTAGAGTGCTCTTGTGAACACGGCAACGAACCTTCGGGTTCTATAAACTGCTGTGGAAATTCTTGAGTGGCTGCACAATTGGCGGCTTCTCAAGAAGTATAAGTAAAGGCACAATAGATCACTGTGGTCAAGGGCCAAGAAGGCTCAACCCTCATACATTCATTCAAGTATAAGTGACTTGAACAGCAGAATGCAATAAAATTTGAATAACGTACCTAGTATCTCTCCTCACGACCAAAACCATGTGCCGTACCGCCAGTGGAGATTAATTTCCGCGTCTGAGCTACCGCCATCGATCATAGTAACCAAGGAGTTAGTTATTTCCTACACGATGGCAGTAGCTGTTCGTCAGAGACTTCTACCTTGCGAGCGGGTATTAAATCGAATATCAGTAGATTATAATCTGAGACCCCTAGTCAGGTGGTCAGGTGGTACTGATGTGCTAATGGTGCTGATTACGTTATTACTTTTAAGTATAAATTGCAGTGCCTAGTAATGTAGATCGTGTAGATTTGATAAATGGGTATAAGTTGTAAAGAAGGGTGTTTGAAGGAGGATGTGAAATGTTATGATGACAGCTTTTGTCAATTTGTTTTTTAAGACAACAGTAAGCTCGTGAGACAAGGCAGGATTTTAAAGTGTTTCGTTTGAAGCACTTGTGTTTTAAGCAAGAGTTCTTTCCTTACAGATCGTACGAGTGGCGTAATAGTATAAATACATGTTCAAGTATACGTTATGTAGTAATGACATTTTCTCATTTATGGGTTGTATGTGTGATTTCAACTTCAATGCATTCCATGTTCCGTCCTAACCTGTAAATAGAAGGCCTGGTAAGTGGAATTTGGTCAAGCTTGAATACACATCCCGTATAGATTTTTAGTCACCGAAACAGTCTTATTCACATTTTACTCAGTTCTACCCACAGTAATTAACTTATTAAATTGTTTATGATGAAAGATGTGTACTTATAGCCGACCTGCCATGTTTCGGCCCATCACGTTCAGTACCAAATTTTACGTGTGAAAGGTGGAGGCCCACAGGGTTGTGAGACTTACGGAGGCTTACAGATGCCGCTCTTTACCCTCAGGTAAATTCCTGGTACACATTTCTGTTAGAGGCTGAGTCAACCTTAATCTTCCTGTCGCGTTTCTTAGTCTACCGTGTCACTTTCACGCGGCGGCTTGTCCCTCTTCGGGCGACGGCCAGTCCATTTCTTCGGCACCCATTCTGACCCTGGGTCCATTCGTTCATCTGGCGGCAGCGCTCCGCGGCAAGTTTTCGGTCCCTACGCCTTTTCTTCTTCAGTTCTCCAGCCGGCATTACTTCGGCGTCTTCTACGGGGACCTCTCCTTCTGCCGCCTCAGGTTTCCTGTCCATTGAGGTCGGCTTTTCCTTTTCTTGACGTGCCTCCATCTCTTGGCAGGCCATCGTATTTATTTCGGTTTTGGTTTCAGCCACCATCTCCTCATGGCTGACGACCACCTTTCTCGCAAGGCGGCCAGTTCTTCTTGCCATGCTTTCACATTGGCCTCTCTGTCAGTCTTCAATTTGGCCAGTGACTCCTTATGGCTGATCTCCACCCTGGTCCGGTTGATTCTAATTTCCTCGTGTCTGGCGACCGCCTTTGCCTAGTCAGCTTTCATTTTCTCTTGCATGGCCAGTAACCTGGCATCTGATTTTTCTTCATTGCTTTTCATTTCCTTCAGCAGGAGTTCCATCACCTGCTGTGTGTCCATTCTTCTTTGTCTTGCAAGATAACACTTTCTGCGCTCGTAAATTCAGCAATTATTTGTAAATCGAGAACTACACGTGAGTCTCGGATTTAGCAGATATTTATTGAACACTCACTCTTACACACTCAATCAAACTTTCAGAGATATAAATACATGGTTTAATGCTAATTTGCTTACCTTGAATTTTAATAAGACTCAATATGTCTAGTTTTGAGCTATGAATTATTATAATATCACTACTCAAATTAACTATGATCAGATAAATTCAACAAATGTGACTGAGACAAAATTTCTGGGATTAATTATTGATGATACTCTTTTGTGGAAACAGCATATTGATTATGTTATTAATAAAATTTCCGTTGCATGTTATACATTGAGAAATATAAACTATATTGTCCCTTTAGATACGTTAAAGCTAATTTATTTTGCTCATATACATTCTATCATAAGTTATGGTATAATTTTTTGGGGTGGCTCTTCTTATGTTAACAAAGTTTTTATATTGCAAAAGAAAGTTATTAGAATTGAAACGAATTCTAGACCAAGACAGTCATGTAGGGCTATTTTTAAGAATTTGGAAATAATGATGTTCTACTCTCAGTACATATATTCATTACTTTTATACACAGTTAATAATAAATATTTATCTAATTCTAACAGTGAGATTCACAAATATAAAACTAGAACCCTCAATAATTTATATTTACCTGCAGTTAACCTAACAAAATACAGTAAAGGTGTGTACATATCAGGTATTAAAGTTTTTAATCGTCTTCCTCAAACAATAAAAATGTTAACTACTGATGAGAGAAGTTTTAAATCTGCATTGAAGAAGTTTTTTTTTGTATATCATCAATCTTTGTATTCCATGAATGAATATTATTAGCATAATTCGTCAAAAGTGTGTAAATTCATTCATTCATTCATTTATTGTATATTCCATAAATCCATATACATAGATATAGAACCAGTCACATAGTTAATGTAGTACAATACAATTATAAATATATATGTACAGCTTATAATCATTATAATAGATAAAAAACATGTCTTAAATTTACAGTCTTACATCACTATTCATAAAATTATGCAATATTAAAATTGTTTATGCTATTATCCTTATTTCTAGGCAAATTTGTTACTAAAGAATTCATCACATGTATAAAAAGAGTTTTGCAATAAAAATGTTGTCAACTGAATTTTAAAATTTTTCAAGTCATTAGACATAGATTTGATTTTTGGTGGCAAATGATTAAAGATCTTTACCCCCATGTAACATATTCCTTTTTGGAATTGTGTGAGACTAGTTTGCAGATAATGCAGATCACAGATAGATCTGGTACTACAATTATGCGTTTGTGAGTTGAATGTGAATAATTCCTTATTTACTATAACAAACAGGGAAATCGACAATATATATTGAGCTTGTAGGGGGAGGATATCCAATTCTTGAAACAAACTATGACACGATGTTCTCTTTGTTGTATTTGTTATAATCCTAATTATCCTTTTCTGCATCTTAAACACTTTTATACTATGCGGGGAGTTACTCCAGAATATTAATCCATACATTACTATAGAATGTACATAGGAAAAATACATAATTTTTAATGTTTCCAGTGGTAAAAAGGATTTAACTGATCGGATTGCAAAACAGGATCTGTTTAACTTATCAATTACTGCATCAATATGACTTTCCCACGTTAAAAAATTTTCAATTTTTAATCCCAGAAACGATATATTAATAAATACTTGGAATTTGATTGTTTAAATAACTAACTTGAACGTTTAAGTTTTTACTGTTTTTAGTTCTAAACTGTAGAAAATAAGTTTTTTCATAATTTATTACTAGCTCATTTTTCCTAAACCATTCATTTATCATCTCAAATAATTTATTTATTATAATTTTAAATGTCGCAGGATTCTTATCAAAGATAAGGATACTTGTATCATCTGCAAATAATATTGGTTTGGATAGGTCAGTTATAATTTTTGGTAGGTCATTTACATATAGTAAAAAGAGCACTGGGCCTAATACAGAGCCCTGAGGCACTCCGCACTGTATTTCTTTCCATTCAGAACAACTTTTACTCCCATTTTCATACAGAATTACTCTCTGGTATATTCCTCTCAAATAGGATCTCATAAGTTTCTGAGGAGCTCCTTCAATTCCATAAAATTCCATTTTTGATAGCAATATATCATGATTTACTCGGTCAAAAGCTTTACTCAGATCACAAAAAATTCCACCCGCTATATATTTGTTGTTTAAAGCCCTGTAAATATTCTCTTTTAGATTATAAGTAGCTAATGTAGTTGAAGAGTTTTTCTTAAAGCCGAATTGCTCCTGCGTTAGCAGGTTACGTGTATTTAAGTGTAAACTCATTATTGTATATATAACTTTTTCAAAAATGTTAGAAAAGATTGGGAGTAAAGATATAGGTCTATAATTAGACATGTCGGTTTTATCCCCTTTTTTGTGTATGGGTATTATTTCAGAATATTTTAAATGAGCAGGGAATATTCCTGTAGACAGTGACTTATTAAATATGTAAGTTAATGGTGATGATATATATGGTGCACTTGCTTTTATTAATTTGGTAGTAATTCCATCATATCCACAAGCTGCTTTAACTTTTATAGATCTTATTATCTCCTCTATTTCATTGTTATTAGTTGCTTTTAATACCAATTTCTGAGATGGTTTTGGAAACGAAGTGTATAAAGAATCCATGAACTTCTTACCTGTTTCCACAGTATTATTTGTCCATTTCTTCGTAGAATTGCTTATATCTAAAAAAAAGTTATTAAACGATCTTACTATATTTTTGTAGTCCTGAGTGGTATTACCCTTTGTATTTAAACAAGTCACCTTAGTAGAAGCTTGGCTATTTCCAGTCATGTTTTTTATAATTTTCCAGGTTGTTCTTGTTTTATTATTGGAAGTTCTTATGACTTTGTTCAGATATAACTTTTTTGCTGTTGAGATAACTCTACTTAATATCTTGCAATACATTTCATAGTGTTCTTTTAATCTAGAATCATTATTGCTCTTAATTTTTATATAGAGCTCCCTTTTTTATTACATGATTTTATAATTTGTAATGTATTTAATTCAGTTAATATTGGTAATTTAAATAAAATTGTATTAATTCAAGTTTTATAGTAAGTTGTTTTTAAATTATGTTTATTAATTAAAATCTTATTAAATTTTTTACTTTATATTATTATTTATGTTACATAATTATGTAATTGATTCTGATTATGTGACGCATGTAATTTTGTATATGTATCTTGATATATCTATTTTCAAAAGGACCATTTCCACATCCTAGGTTTGTTACCTGTATGGATATATGGAAAATAAAGGAAAATGAATGAATGAATGAAGTACAATTAGTATCACTTCAACTGACTTGGCGAATGCTAAACTTCAACTGTCTTGGTGAATGCCTTCAACCCATTATATCAGGGTTTTTTGAACTGCTTAGAGAACACCATCTTCAACCATCCGGTTTCACATGTCCTATGCTCGTTACTGTGAAAGTGCATTATTCCCGCTGGTTCAACAACCTGTTGCTTAGGAAATGCATTATTTCCCGTTGTTACATAATGCTTCTAACAGTTCGTTGTAACCTTGGAGACTCACTGTTAGAATTACACGTGACAATATTAACTGTTATATTTGTGTCTGTAGGGTTTGGTACATAATGGCAGAGCCTGAAGATGCTGACCGTCAGGGTCCTCAGGGCGAGTCGCAGGAGGCTGAGGATGTTGGTGAGCCCCACATAGCAACTTCTCTGGATTGTTCTTCACATTCAAGTCCATTGAAGAAGAGAGAAGAGGAAGAGAGAGGGAATGTCGACAGTGTGGCGGACAGAGCAGAAATAGAAGAATGGTTGGGTGAAATCTCTGTCAGAGACTCACCTGAGGATGAGAATTGCAAGGAACCTTGTTGCACAGACATTGATGCTTCACCCTCATTAAAAGCTGTTAAGAAAAAGGACATAGATGAGTGCATTTACCATCTGAAGTGGATAATGTGGCATGAGAGAAAAGCACCCATAGTGACGCAGAATGAAAATGGTCCCTGTCCCTTGATCGCCATATCGAACATTTTATTGCTAAGAGGGAAGATTATTCTTCCTACTGTGATGGAAATTATAACTGCCAAGCAGCTTATGGAATATATTGGGGATATGATTCTGCAGAATGTCCCTAAGGTAGGAGCTGCACACTGCGTACCTCTGTGAGGGTCTGTTGCAAGAAATAGTGAATGTTTGGTTCCATATGAATGGGGAATTTCTTAGAATCACTGGATTTTTGGATCTTGTCCATCATCCAGTATTTTAGAAATTAGAAAAAACAACGTTTCGGAAACTGGATCTGTTTCTGTCCTTGGGTGGGGGGAAGAAATCTGCTCTGTTCGGTCCCTTGGAAAGAGTGAATCTCAACCACTGGGGAATTTCTTACTTGTCAGAAGAAGTGCGAGTCATTGAAGAAAGACCCTGTGCCATGGAAGTAGTGAATTTGTAGAGGTGCTATGACTCGCATGTCAGAAACAGTTAGTTTTATGGAAGTAATATTTGTTCAGTGGTGCATGAGTATGAAGTACAGAGCTGTAGTTACTTGCAGGCTGTCTCTGTTACATGTGTATTGGTGTATAGTGTTCTGCTGATAGTGGAATGCATATAAGAAGTTGCAGTTATTTGCAGTGGTTGCTTGTCTTGTATTTTATCAGGTACTGGGTTTTGTAGTCAAAAATTAGAAAGTGTGTGATGAATGCGAATGACAAATTATGAAGGACTTCAGAGGAATTGGTTGACTCCTTCAAGATCATCATCATCATCACCATCAGTAATCTGTCAGATGACAGGTCCACAATCTCTCTTCCAAAACAATTCCTCCACTTAATGCGATCTAGAGCTTTCTCCTTCAAATGACAGTATCCTCTTCTGTCCCCAAGGTCGTCCAGCATCTTCTTACGTCTTCTTCCTCGTCTTCTTGTCACTTCTATCCGCCCCTCTATCTTTCCTTCAATAACTTCTTTTAGAAGGCAGTTTCTGCGTAAAACATGACCAATCCAATTAGCCTTCCGTTTTCTTATTTCGTGTAGGATATTCCTCTGCTCACTGACTCTAATTAACACTTCTTCATTTCTCACATAATCGGTCCAACTGATCTTCTCCATCCTTCTCCAACACCACATTTCAAAACTTTCCAGATGTTTCTGATCTACTGCCCTAAGTGTCAGTGTTTCAGCCCCATACAGAGCTATGCTCCAAATGTAGCATTTCACTAGTTTCTTCCTCAAATTTAAGTCCAATTTGCTGGTAAAAAGATTCTTCTTCTTGCTAAATGCAGCTTTTGCCATGGCAATCC